AAATTTTACATGAAAAACTCCGGAAAGGATAAAATTCACGGGGCCTTGCCTATTTGAAATATTTTACTACGAGTTGTGATTAAAGATACAATTCATTGTCCCACATATGGGAAAAGGGTTACACAGTCTCCCAAGTTATAATGTTGGTGCACGAAAGAACTTGTCGGTGGTAACTGATGGTGACCAGGCAGTTGTCATCAAGTGTTGGTCGTCAATGGTTGGCGACGGTTGTCGGCTACAGAAGTAAGTGGCATTCGCTGGGTTGTTGGTGTATAAGTGATGTTGGGCTTCAATTCCTTCTCCAAGCTTTAGTCTTCTTCAGGTTTCAAGCTCCAAGTCCCCTTTCATGAGGCGTGCAGGGCTCTATTTATAGAGCCCAATTAACAAATAAAAAAGGAATCCATACCAGTCTTGAATCTTGATCAAACAACCCAGAGGGAACTCATTGATTGGATGTTGTTCGATAGACATATGAATGCCTTAATGATGTCAAAATTGAGCAATCTTGAGCTCATTGGAATCATCTTTTCAAGAAACTCAATTTAGTATAAGATTGTCTGATTCGAGATTCATTTGACTTCCAAATATGGTCTAAATGCTTTCATCAGTGGTGTAATGACTTGATCTGGGCTGGAGTTGACTTGGATTGGATTGATTTTGATACTATTGGGCCAATCTTGTCAAGCAAGTCTGTTTGACTATATAGTTGTTGAAATTAAAATTCTGGATGACTTTTAATCAAAGTTTGAACATTTTTTGTTCAAAATATTACCTCGAGATTTATGTCATGCTTCAAGATTCTTGTGAAATTATGAAATTTTGATGATGTATCATATATATATAATACATAATAATTGAGTGGCATGCATGTAAATCTCACTATAACGTAATAATTGGGAATTTTGATTTTCATCATAGAGAAAATGAGTTTGAGACTTTATATATTTGAATGTATATGAATTTAATATTATACATAAAAAATATGCCTTCATTTTTGTGATGGAATCATATGGTAGATTATATATTTGTAAATTAGATCTCTTCGATTATCTACAGATCATATAATCGATCATTTAAAATGAAGCTGATACGCTATCAACAAATTTTCATCATCCGACATGAATATCATGTATAATACGGATCTCGAGAAAATATCTTCAGCAAGAAATTTTCAAATCTTGATAAAAAGTCACTCAGAACTCTGATTTCAGCAAACTTATAGTCAAACTGATCGACTCGATGAGACGGACCTAATGATATCAAAGTTAGTCCAATCCGAGTCAAATCAAACCCAGATCAAGTGATTAAATCATTATTGGAATATTTCCAGACACATTTGAAATATCAAACGAATGTCAAATTCATCGAGTTTATAGTTGAATCGAGCGTCTCGACAAGACAAATCCAACGAGCCCAAGATTGCTCAATTCTGACATCATTAAGGCACTCAAATGTCCATCAAACCTCATCCGATTGAGGGAAGGTCTCCGGACCATCAGATCAAAATGGTTCATATTTCCGCATTAATTGCACTCAGAACACTATAAATAGAGTCCCACCCCTCGCAATGGATTAGAACAAAAAAGTATAGCAAAAGAGAGCCCGCTAGAAGGGGACTAACGAGCTCGCTAGCGGAAGACCAACTGACCCACTCATTTAACCAGGTGCAGTCCCCCTGAATCGGTGCTAGAGTTTAACCGATTGTAGGCAATCTGAATTAATGACTAAGGCCAATCGAGCCAAACAAAGACACTAACTTGCCTCTCGTCAGGATTTGATACAAGTGAAAGTTCAGAATAGCCAACCATCTCACAGACGCCGTAGAAAGTATTCATATGGAGCCCAAAACCGGCAATGAGATAACCAGCGAAGCATCTTGAAGGACTATCGAAGGTTAACTGACAACTTTGATTCAACACAATCGACATAAACTACTCATTTAGGGTGATTTACCATCAAGAAATGAGCTACCTATCAGATTATGGTGATTCACCCTCCTCCTGATAGCCTATAGAGTAGCAGACCGATAAAGCCAAGTTATGCTCAATCGAAAACTATCAAAGGTTAACCGACAACCTTGATTCAACATAGTCGAACAAGCAAGTCTTGTCAAACTGAGACCCACTGATTTCAGCGAACTAGGCCAGAGATTAGCTGAATTTATAGCCTATACATGTAAAATACATAAAATATCATGTTAATACCTCATTAAAGCATGGACAAATATATAATTTCACATATTATACTCTTTTCTTATAAATAAGAGAATTATTTTAGTAGAACTGACTAATTACTAATTGAAATTATTGTTTATTATTATGCATTTCTCTCTTTCTCTCTTTTTCATATCTCACGCGTTGTTCCTATTCCTTCAATGTGGCACATGGACGTATATCATGATTCAACAAATATTAACTTTGCTCATATTCCGACAATTTTTTTTCCCCCATCAAACATCAATAAATGACATTATGTTCTGTAAGCTACTCTCAAAAAAACCAAATTAAGATCAATTTTCTTTTTATTCATATTTTTAAAAATAAGCTTTTAAGCAAATACAATACAATATAATTGATGTCATATTCTCATTTATACTTTTTAAAACTAGAATTCATTATACGTGAAAATTATGAAATTGTCCTTAGAGACATTTCTTGTCCTCGCCTAAGATCTTGATGAGCTAATGTTGTGTGTTAACAATAGGATACATTATTTCTTAATTTTTGTATTACATAAATGTGCCAAATTAGTTGGTTATTAATGATTAGTAGCTTTGTATTTCTATAAATAGCTCCTATTGGAGCACATTGATGAATGGAATGAAAAATGTAGTTACTACTTACTTCTCTCTCTTTAAAATAGTGCTACTTCTTTTTTTTTTATTTTTGGGGGTTGGTGCTCTTGTATTAGATAAATAAGTAAAATTAATCTGCTAATAAGCTAGGTGTGACGGCTATTATAAATTTTTATTTTTTTGGAAAAGCTATTATAATTTTTTATTTTTTTGGAAAAGTCAGACCGCTACCAGAAAGCTGCCACCGCATCCAGATAATTGCGGTGTGAAAACGTTGTTTTCAGTATTTTGAAAACGCATAAGCTTTCAAAACGCAGTTCACCCAAACTAGTCAGATGCACTTTCAAAATGCTACCGCACCAAATAAGTTGCCCAAACGGACCTAATTCTTTGTCTGCTCGAAGAAATTCTTAATTATTGTATTAGATTGATAAGGAGAATTAATTATTTCGTTAATAATGACTAGTAACCTTATATTTTTATAAATAGCTCATATGGATGAAATGAAAAATGTAGCTACTAGTTAGTTTTCTATTTTATGTAGTGTTATTTCTTTTCTTATTTTAGAAGTTGTTGACATTCCCAAATTGTCATTTATCAATATTAAAGAAACAAATATATAATAAACAATATGTAAAATCTAAATTTAAGATTTTAAATATAATTTTACAAATTTTAAATTTAAATATTTCATTAATATTTGTTTTTTTTTTGTAGATGAATTATTTTATATAAATAGATGAGAGAAAAATCTACATTGTGAAGAATTACTTAAATATAATATAAAATCATTAAATTAATTTTACTATTTTAATTATAATAGTTAGAAATAAAAGTATTGAGAGCAATCCTATATTTTTGTAAGGAAGCTTATCGCTAACTATAAATTTTAATTAAAATAAATTTACAAACATACCCCTCAGTTTTTATGTATTTATATATCTAGCACCTAAAGTTTCATATTCACATTTATAACACTTGGTATCATAAATAATGTATTATAATGGTGATAATATTTTTGATGTGATATTAATATGTGTGCAAATGCTTAATTTAGATTATTAAGATTTTCTTAATTAAGTTTCATTTAGATTATTTAGATTTTATAAGGTTTTAATCAAGGTTGTGAAAATCAGACGGGACATCGAACTAGAAGAAGTAAAGCTTCAAGGTTCAATGGTTCAACTCAGGTTGAACCAGGAAGAAGTAAAGCTTCAAGGTTCAATGGTTCAACTCGGGTTGAACCAGATGATATAATATATATTTAAGTTATTTTAATATAGTTTAAATAATGTAATAATGATATATTAATAGTATTTTTATTTAATCAACAAAAAAGTATTTTAATCTAAGGTAATATTTTTGAAAATTTTGAATAATATTCTAAATAAAATTTCAAAACATAATATGCTAATTTTTTTTAAAAAATTTAAATTTCTATTTAGACCATCAGATCAAAATAAAAAAAAATGTCAAAATTGAATAATATTTGAACTGACCGGTTCTTTATAAACTGGACCGATTCACCGATTCAATCCCGGTATTATACATTAACAATTTTAAGCTTAGACCCAACTGATTGAATGACTCATTCACAATTGAACCCATCAAACCGACCAACTTGGTTTGATTTTTAAAATCATTTTTTTAATTATAAAAATTAGGCTCGGAAAGTCACTTATCTTTAATTCAATGTAATAACTAATAATTAATTATTTAGTAAATATTTTAGTAATTAATTGGAATTATTAAATTTTAATAAGCTTATTTTTTTACCATTTGTGGCTGAGGAAATAATTTTATTTACTATTTTAATATATACTTTAATTAAATATTATTAACGCAATAACTTACTAGGAAATTTGATGTATTCATAGCAATTGCTATTGAATAAAATTTAATGAGGATAATTATTTTTATTAATTTTTTGTGTATATATATATATATTATTTATACAATATATATATTTCAATATTTTTTTTGTCTGTGCATGTATGTAATAGAATTTTTTGTTAAGATATTTTAAAATAATTTCTACCAATATAAAGCTTTAAATTGTTAAAATTTATTTAAAAATCAATATTTTTTTTATAAAAAAAATTTTAAAAATAAATTCCGAAATTTGTTCTTCTCAAAATCTGCATGACTGCATCCAGATTCCTGAATTTATTTTTTTTTCAGTTATAACTTTTGAATAATTGTTCTTTCCATACATGTCGCTCTCGACGGTTCAAATCTGGACTAGCACGAGGCGCGGGGGTATATACTCTCCACAGATGAAAATATCGATCGCCGTCGAACGGGGATCCGCCGTCGCCAATCTGATCTCTTTGGGATTCATTTTTTAATAGCTGCGGAGAGATCCAGATCCAAACTTTCATTGTCTTCGCCTTCCCTTCTCTGGTCTCATCAAGGTGGGGATGGGCTCTCGGTGAAGGAGTCCTCTGTGACCAAGAAGGAAGTTGTATTTATTCTGAGAATAGATCTGGTGAGTTCGATCGCTTCGTGGTGGTTTGTATAGTCAATCTTGGTTTGAGGTGCGATCTGTGGGCCTATGGATTCGCGTCGTTCGCTTGTTGGGATTCTGCGAGGTTTTTGTTTAGTACAGATTGATGGATTTGGCTGTTGTGTTAATCAGGGTTAAATGTTGCGGTTGTGAGGCGGTGTAGTTTCAGTGCGAGCGGTAGGAATGTTTCCTGGACTTGAGAGATTGTAGTTTTGATGAACCTGTTGTGTGGTTGACATGGAAAGAGTTCTCGATTGATCTTTAAACTCACTTTCATGGCTTACGTGTCTTTAAGTGGTGCATTTTGTTGAAACTTTTTAATTGCAGGAATGAAAGAGTTCCTATCGTCCCCATAAAGTTCAGTAGCTTTCTAAGGAATTGCGTTGTATTAGACAGTTGGAAAATAGAATCTTACATGTAAGCATGATTTAACTTCTTTTAATAACTATTGAGATGATTAGGGTAAGTCCTGGGTTTGGATAATGGGCAGGAGACGAAGGGAATTGGATTGTATTGTTGAGGATGATCTATTATCACAATTCTCAACTATGGATGAAAGTATTTTACCATAAGATAGAAGGATAAGCTCCTGATTCTGTGAGCATCTCTTTGAAATTTGTTGCTATTGCTTTATGTTTCATCTAACATGAATTGTTTTTTGCATAAATTTCTTTAATGCAAAAAAAAAAAAAAGAAAAAAAAAATCAATGAAAATATTGCGAGGGCAGGTCTTTCATGAAAAAGAAGTAATCAAATAGTTTGCAAGATTTTGGACCCATGATTTATTTTCTGTAATTTCATTTCAAATTGCATATAAAACCATAAAGGAGTGTAAAATGTGTTAGTTGAAAATGGAAGTTCAGAAAGAAAGAAAACAATGCATATTGCAAAGGATTGTTTCTTCAATTTTTTCTAAACATGTCTTAAATCTCTTGTTTATTTTCAAATAAAGTTTTGACCGTTAAAACTTGCAGGTTGGTGTAAAGGAAAATGTGCTAAATTCAATGAAATTGAAAATTTTATATTCTATGATCAGCCACATTATTATGCATTGTAAAGTTTGAATTTAAATAAAATGATTGATCCAGATGGAAGCACAATTAGCATTATTCATAACTAGAAAAGCTTCTGGGAAATTAAGGGATCAAAATCAAAATAATTACAAGACTACCTATTTTTTTCTGAATTCAAGTGTTTCAGTTTAAAAGTACATGAACAAGAAAATTAAATTTAACTAAAGAGAATGCTGGTTCAGCATATAGTACGAGCATGAAGGAGCAGTACAACTGAGGAGTATATCTTTTAAACGGTGTGGAGCATTGCAACAATGTGAAGCATTGTTTCTTGCTTTTTGCAGTCAGAAGAAGCCATTATTATCATCTTTCTTCTAAAATATATAAATGTTTATAATTTTCCAGCTACTTACATCTTTTTGGTCTAGTTTTAAATGCAGTCTGACTTTGCATGCCTGGGCAGTAAATGCATCTTGATGGCCGTACCTGTAAATTATTCTTCATTTCATCTGTAATTCTTTGTTGTACTAAGTTTCCCATGTGCAGTTTGGATTCCATGAAATGACTAATTATGGATTGTGTTATAAGGGTTGTTATGGAATTTGCATCTTCTGGACTTCGGCAATAGCTGAAACCTAAAGGGAGTTTAATTTGAAGAATGGCACCTGCAAACAAAGCTGACAGAAAGGCAGCATTAGATGTAGCCTCATGGATGTTCAATGTTGTAACCTCTGTTGGCATCATCATGGTTAATAAAGCCTTAATGGCTACTCATGGATATAGTTTTGGTATGTTAATTACATAAAGTTCCATCTGCCAGATTTCTTTTGTATTAAATAGCAGAACTTTAAAATGCATTTAGGCTGCAGTAGCAATTCAGCACTTTTAACTCATATATTGGCCCTTTTTTTATTTTCATCCGTTGTCTTTTTCTTGCTATATGTTAGAATAACTTGTGAATTTGTCATTGTTCTTCCTTGATTCTTGCTATCTCCATTTTTTCATGTTTGTGAGGTGCATTGATAGGCTGCAGTAGTTTCCTGTGCTACCTTTTAAATGTTATGAATACGTTATATTTTAAACTTTTCTTTTTCTCTTTTCATGCCTTGTCAATCTCCCACCTTGACGGAAGGAATCCTTGATAGGCTATTTTTCCAGTTCCATTGTGTCCAAAAAGATAAATATTATAGGATGTTTCTGAGCCCTTTTAATCATGCTGGGTTATCCATGACAAACAATACATTTTATAGGTGGCATATACATAATTGTGAACGACTATTCTAAAAGTAGCCTTATTAAGGTTTCTTATGTTGAGTCTAATGTGTCTCTTACATTTTTAACTGTCTTAACCTATAATGATAATTTATCTAGGTTGTGTAAATGAGCTGAGCATGAGCAAGCTCAATATCTGTTTGCGTTGGACTCATTCGAAATTTATTGTCAAATTCGGCTTAAATTTGAATTACTTCGTTAAATAAATATTTGTGTTCAAATTAAATCATTTGAAATAGACTCGTTTTGTTCGTTTAAGCTTGAATTGGCTTGAAAAAACCCCATTCGTTACAAAACTAAACCTAAAAAAACTATTCTTAAGTTTTCTATTTCAACAAAAGTAATATTCCCAAATAAAAATTAATTAAAGTGTACATGTCAAAATTGAAAGTTAAAACTCAAAACCTAATGTTAAGTAAAGAATAAATAAGAAAACTAGTCGGACCGCCCTATAGATTAGAGTGCCCTTATAATAAAGATTGAAATCATTGCGTTAACTTACTATTTTTTTGTGTCCCTGATTCCACGTTAAATCAAGGTATTTATAGAATAAGCAGGCCACTATCAATTAAATATCAGAATGCCAAAATTATAGAAGGACAATAGATTCAAAGGTTATGCTGCCGGGCCATTTATCATGATGAATTGCTAAAAAAAATTAATAACGATTAGTTACTGTTTTATGGCTCTTTGAAGGTGTTTAGAAAACATGTTTTGTGGAGAGGTGGTTGTGCATGGCAAGTGGAAGATGATAATCTAGATTGACGAAGTTTGGATGGGGATAAGCATAATTCGACGATTGTCCCAGCTGAAAATGGCAAAGAAGGCTCCGAAACAATCAGGTATGAAGGTCGAGGATGATCTGCTACATGTTCATAAACAAGATACAGATACACCACTTGAAAAGGAAAGGATAAAATATTAAAGGTAGAAAATAGATATTACAATCTTCCTAAACTCAAGACAAATCAAAAGTCTAAAGAAATAGAAAATATCAACATACAATAAATCCCTCAAATAAAAACCCAAATTCTAATTTAGGAGTATAAGAAAATTAAGCCCCACAAGGACTGACAATACCAAATAGATCCCTATTTTGACACGAATCGGAGCAAAATCTCACCATCTACCTCGTGGGGTTGTGGAAATCCCGCCAAAATTCCTTACAGGGACAGGGTCCGATTTTGTGACCATGGGAATTTGTGAAATCCTGCATCCAAATACGAGATGAATGCGACTATAAATATCGATTATTTTTTTGGCACAATCAGTGCTGGAAGTGCATATAGATGGGTATTCTCTCGAGCTAAATCTCGAGCCATTAAATTTGCAACCCACTTCTTCAATTTTTCGTAATCAGTGGGACGTATCCAATAAACAAGTCTGTTTGGAGGAATTAACTTTGAAATAAAATCTATAGCATGTTGGATCACTCTCAATGATAATCACCCTTGAGGGAAGTTGTTGGTCAGGATATCTAGTAACCCTCGACAGGGACTATCTTTTTTCTGGTATCTGCTTCTTGTATTCACCACCTTCTAGAACAATCAATGTATCAACTTCTTGTACTCACTACTTTTTTGAACTATCACTGTTGATTCAGCTACTAGTCTCTTTTCTTCATCGGCTAGAAGTTGAGATTCCTCAATAAAGTTTTCATTCTCTTTTGTGTGACTGTCCATTTCTTTAACTGCTCATTGCTCGGTGAAATAGATCGCCTATCTGTTTGGGCAATCAAGTGCCACATGGACAAAAACTTGACACTCGAAGCATTTAGTGGCGGGGATAGATTTGGGAATACTGACAACCTTTACCTTTTCTCCACTTTGCACGATTTCCTCCTCTGGTTAGGTCGGTTTGAGTGCTCCACAGGGTGTACTATTGCTGCTTGATTCTAGGGTTGAACTTTGTCTATAAGGTATAACGATCACCCAGTGATGTTGTTTCTCCACCTTTGAAGCTAGATTCATAATATCTTGAAATGTCCAATAAGGTTGTAACTGTACCATGTTATCAATGGACGGTCTCCATACCCCTAGATATCGAGTTAGGGTGTTCTTTCTGAGTTCCACTAGCTCATACTTCAACATAAGCTGCTCAAACTCAGTTATTTACTTCTTTATTGAGAGATTTTGCTGTTGTAAATGATGAAACCTCAAGAACATATCCTTTCAATAATGTGCTAGCTTGTAGGTATTTTTGTGCTATCATGAAGTGTACTCCTATCATATTGCCATGATAGGCGCATTTAGAAAACGGAACCGAACTTGCCTATTCTACCGTGAACTGATGGCCAGTCCGGTTCGAACCATATAAAAACCTTTATCTGTTTGTGAACCGCTTAGAATGGGCTGAACCATCGGTTCAACCTGTAGACCTGCGAACCAGTTTGTTGTATTTAATTCCAAGGTTCGTAATAAATTCCTTGGCAAACCCTTTACTTCCCAATTCTCATCACTTTGCCTTCTCGCATTATAAATGAAATAAAAGGTTAGCATATTTTAAATAATTACTTAGTTACAGTGGACTTGGAAGTTTAAAATTTAAAATATAAAAGAATTATCTTGAACACGTTTCACATTTTCAAATTTATGGATCTCAGAGGGCATTTAATGTCACTTTTTTTACCTTTTTTGTACTCTGTTTCAAGTTTTTTATTTATATTTTATTTATATTATATATTTTATCCAAAATTTTATTTTAATATGGTTAATGACTCCTTAGTCTTTATTATTATACTTATAATTTTAAACTGTTTGTTTAAAATTTATAAATACACAATGAATGTGTATGTTAATTATATAAAATTTTCAATTCTTAATTGATATTAGTTTGTTTTTTTATATTTGTTATTATTACATCATTATTTTATCATTTAAATTATATTTAATTAGTATTTTTATTAATTACATCATCCGATTTAACCTCGGTTCAACCAATGAACCTTGAACCTTTCCTTTTTCCGGCTTGATGTCCGGTTCAGTTTTCGAAACCTTGCCTAAAAGAATCTGACACGCATCCATAGACACGACATCACCAAACATGATTCTAGAGCTTGTCTCCCATAAAAAACTCCACGAGGCACCTCTTATCAACATTGATTTTACTCTTCTTCTTCAATCAGGTCAGAAAATATAACTGAGAATGCTCCTTAGTAGCGAGATGCCACATGTTCTCAACTACCTCTTTCTATAATTAGGTTGCATGCTTTCCTTTCCACAGTACATCATGTATGAGAAATAATGTGGCAGAGGCATTGTTGCCCTCTCATGGGCTAAGTCTAGAGGGCCCGTCGGATTACTAGCATCTCTCCATCATCTGTGGGTAGCTGGTATTCCTTTCTATTCTCCTCCTCAGGGTCTTCACCTGTTGTCTCCTCGACTGCACGTCTGCACCCTGCTGAGTAAAAGATATTATTCTCTTGTTTGGGCAATCTAATGAATGTGCCCAAAACCGTGACACTTAAAGCATTTTTTGGCTGTGATGGATTTGGGAGTGTTGGTATGCTCCACATTTTCTTCACATTGGACTTATTTCTTCTCTGTCGCTGTTGGCTTGAATGCTCAACTATGTGTGCTCTTGCTACTTGGTTCTGTGGATGAAGACTATTTGAAAGGTGGTGTGGATTCAACCAGGACGGGAAGCGTATTATACTTTTGTTGTTGGCAGAGTCTGTTATGATGGATACTTTGACATAGACAGGAACTTTAGTGTCCCGTGCCACCTTTCTACAGACTATGAGAGAAACACTAGTAAAATTGGTCTTGATGATGCTATTGTCATGGAAGAGATAATATCTGAGACGGTACAACCCTCACTAGAGGAGTTTCAGGATTTTCTACTTTTTTAGTTTACCCCTAGATTGCCACCGTTAAGAGCAATCTAGATATTGTCATTTTAAATACGGATGAGAAGATTTTTAACTATCTTTAGAAGGCCATATGGAGTAAGGTGGGTACTAAGTTTTAGTTTAGTTCAATAGCACATGCACGAATAGTGGCCAGATTGGAGCGGTGAACTACAACTTTGGAAATCTACATAAGTGTTTTGTGAGAAAGAATAACCAGCAGCTGGATCAATTTCCTTTCAGGGAAGAAAAAGCTATTCTTAGCCCGGGAGAATGATGCGGAACTTCAATTACGCATTGCGGAACTCCATATTTCCTCGGGATTGTAGGGAATTGTGTTCGGGCAAAGGGACAAGCACAATTTTCACATTTTTTCCTTTTTTTTTTCTTTCTTTCCTTTTTTGATTTATTTTTTGTTTCCATATTTCTAACCAGGGTTTCTTCCTAACATGGACTTTATATTTTGTTTTTCTTGTTTCGTTAGACTTTTGATGATTTTAATCTTTGTTTTATGCTTTGCAAAGTGCTTTAACATATCCCTTTTGCAAGTGTTGTATCTACATCTTGCTCAGAAACAGATGGTGTAACATCCTCGCCTGTTCATATCTAGCCATTTGTTGTTCGACCCACCATTTTCCAACCAGACAGGCTCCGAACACTTCCGATCTGTTGGCCAATAACAGACCTCATCCTCGACCCATTCCAAATGTCGTCTACCAGTTGTTTTCAGCTGAGCAACCATCCTTCCTTGCTACTATTGCTGTTCAACAGCAGAAAGGGGCTGTCCAGTAGCAGGAAACTGTTTTAACAGCAGCAAGGGTCTGTCCAACAGCAGGAAACTGTTTTTCCAGTTTTATGGGTCGCTGTCCTGCCGCCATTCATGTCGGAATTCAATCGACATCTTTTCTCTCACTTCCGATACCCATCCCACAGTATCTCTAACCCTCTTATACTTTGCAAACACCTAGGAATCCTAGAACGGTATCACTAAGACTAGTGAAGTTTTTTGCTTTCGCACTGGGGACAGAGGGAAGAGAGAAATAGAACTACTTAAGTTGAGGCGGTCGAAATTGAAAAAAGGGTAATGGTTTAGGGTTTTTTATTTAGGTTTATATATAATTAGTGTTTTATATTTAGGAATCATCCAACGATTTAGAATGAAATCAATGATTTAGATTAAATCATTAATTTTTATGGGATTTAATAGATATTTCAACTTGGATTATTTTTAATTTATGAGATTATAAATATACAAATTTATGTTGGTGATTAAGTTATTTAAATCGAGCACAACACTATTGAACACATATATGTTTGTGTTTGACTTTTTCATAATTCGAGCATAGAAAATTTGTTCATCTTCGGCTCGCTTGATTCAAGAACGAATCAATCACGAACTTCTTAGCGAGCTGAACACATGCTGTTTGTGAACGATAAGCTTCTTTGACAACCCTATATGTAGGGATACCATTATTGTTTGCTTGCTTAGTATTTTAGTTATTCGAGAGAAGTGTCAATAATCCCTTAACTCTCTGTAATGGGTTATTTTAGTCCCAAAGGCTATAAAAGTGTCAATTTTGTCCCATACTCATTTAATAGGGGCTGGAATAGTATTCCATGAAGATTATTTCAGTTCATATTAAAAGAAATTCGGGAATTAATTTGTCACTTTTATAGACTTTGAGACTAAAATGCCTCGTCTAAACAATCAGGGGACTATTTTGGCACTTTATCCCTAGTTATTCTGTAATGGCAGTTTTATGTTCTACTATATTGCACTCTCCCAATTTCCACGTCCATCTTTACCTCATTTCCTCCTTGTCAATAACTTCTCCCCTTTTTAAACGTGGGATTGATTTTCTTTCAAACATTGACCTAAAGGAGCAGCCTATAAGTCTTGCATTTTAAACCCATAATTTTTGGTTTATTTCTATTTTTGGTTTATTTCTGTTAATAAAAAATGATAGATATTTTATGTCTCTCTAAATTTTTGGTTTATTTCTGTTAATAAAAAATGATAGTTAATAAAAAATGATAGATATTTTATGTCTCTCTTCAAAAATTTTCTTGACTAACTGCCAGTTTTTTTAATATTAACGTGCTTCAATTATAGAAATGTACTTTTTGAGGTTGCCAAATTTGTAATAATATATTTCATTTATATGTTGCAGCGACAACATTAACTGGTCTGCATTTTGCTGCTACGACTATCATGACTATAGTGCTCAGGTGGCTGGGATATGTTCAACCCTCCCACTTGCCAGTACCTGATCTGATAAAGTTTGTTATCTTTGCGAACCTGTCAATTGTTGGAATGAATGTTAGTTTAATGTGGAATTCTGTGGGATTTTATCAGGTTGGCCGATTAGTTCTGAATTTTTTTTTTCATTATTTTGCTTGCATTGTAATTTGTTGGAAATTGTCTCCTCTTACTGGCTATTATGTGCTTTCAGATTGCAAAGTTATGTATGATTCCTGTATCATGTTTTCTAGAGGTTCTTTTTGATAAAGTTCGTTACTCCCGAAACACAAAGCTCAGCATATTAGTGGTTCTTATCGGTGTAGCAGTCTGTACCATCACCGACGTTAGTGTTAATGCCAGAGGCTTAGTAGCTGCCACTATAGCAGTTTGGAGCACTGCATTACAACAATATGTAAGTTAAATTTTAACAAAAATGTTATATGATAAATGAAGGGCTTTATGGTTCTTTTCAAAAATTTCTCATTTCATCATTTGCTCGAAGCTCTACTTAACTCTCTTGGTTAAAATTAATTATGATAAATGTATCGAACTTAAGTTTTTATTTATTTCAAGGAAAAAGAAGGGTTATTTACTTTATATGTTTGTTTTTATTGCTTGTGGATGGGGTGAAAATTTTCTACTTCTAGAAAGTGGGCCAGATAAAATACATTTGATTAGACTAGGTTTGTCAACTCACTTCAATTGATTTTTTCTGAGCTTGCAGAAGTACATAAAATTTATCCATTTATCTGCTTGACTTGCTATGCTTGCTGAGCTTAATGTTTTACTTTCTCAATGTGGTAATCAAACAGATTTCTTTGTTCGGCTAGAGGGGCTATGATGCCATTACCAATAACTGTGGGGATATTTACATGATTTATTGTATGGTCAATAAAAAAATTCATCTGCCGAAGCACATTATGATTGGCTTATCGAGATTAAACTTTTAAATTTTGCTTAAAAGATGGCCATTTGCTCTTATGTTTCCTAAATGAATTATAGATTTCTGCAAGCCTTGAATTTAAGTTAAACATGAGGTTCTACTAAAACACAATTGCCTTAAAAGAGACAATTCTATGATTTATTGTTTTATTTTTTTTTTCTGTAGTATGTACATTATCTTCAACGGAAGTACTCACTCGGATCATTCAACCTCTTGGGCCATACTGCTCCGCTGCAAGCGGCATCTTTGTTGCTTCTTGGGCCTTTTGTGGATTATTGGTTGACTAGGCGAAGGGTGGATACCTATGACTACAATATAATTTCAGTGGTACGACCTAAAATAAATCATTTGCCGGATTTCTCTCAGTTTTTCTTTTGGGAAATTGACATACATAGCACACAATTCTTATGCATTTACATATCTTACTCCCAAACTTTCATTTTTACATACACAACACCTTGGTGATTTAAACCTATGCTTGAAAAGATGTTTTTCACTTTTAAAAAGTGTTGATAGTGTTATTTTTTATGTGATATTAAAGGTTTGAGTGTTTTGTGTATAGATATGGATGTTAAGGTGCGAGATGCGTAAATACATAAGAATTGTGTTCTTTTTCATCATCTGGATCGCCAATTCTTCATTCACTTTATACTCTTAGTGTTACTTCCTCCTGTGCTGAAAATTCTTGCTGATTTTAATGCAGTTCTTCATCACTTTATCATGTATCATCGCCATTGGTACCAATCTAAGCCAATTCATCTGCATCGGTCGATTCACGGCAGTTTCCTTCCAAGTTCTCGGTCATATGAAGACCATCTTCGTTTTGGTTTTGGGATTCTTCTTATTTGGAAGAGAAGGCCTCAATCTTCATGTCATTCTTGGCATGATAATGGCGGTTATAGGAATGATTTGGTATGGTAATGCGTCCGCCAAGCCAGGCGGTAAAGAGCGGCGGAGTTATTCCATTCCAATTGATAAATCTCAGAAGGATGGATTGTTGACAGAATCTGGACAGCCGGATGAGAAGGTCTAAATTAGGTTCACTTGCAGGCCATAGGTACTTTTGTTTCTTACAACACTTTCTACTGCTTCACACGATCATTGATAGGAAGTCAATCTTTATATTTTCTACTTTTCTTATTTACTAAATTTTGTGGGGACAGCCGTTTTTGGGTTTCAAGATTTCCCATCCCAAATTCAACGCTCTATTGTTGCTCATAGTAATTTATTTCCTTCAAATAAGTTGCTCTGCAGAGGAAGCAGTTCGATTCAAATTGAGTTTAATGGTTTTTGTTTAGGTTATTTGAACCTGAAGACTAATGAAAACATGTTTTACTTATATTTATTCATTTTAAAACATATTTACATTTTTATTGTTGAGTTATCTAGCAATGGTTTTTGATTATTGAAGTGGTGATCAAATAGCCAAGGTTATAAATGATTCCGATATGTCTGAGCTATGATTTTTGTTTTATTCATTCATTTATCATCAGTCAAGCAAGATAAATTCGAAATGAATTTTGTTCAAGATTGATAATTTCGAGCAGAACATGAATAAGTAGTTGAATTGATGGACATCAGATATCATTAGAATTTTTTTAATGACTGTTTTGAGTGCATGATTTTGTCTTTTTTAATTCTCATGTCTTTGAATCATTACACTTTCATATGTATGCTGTCTTGGAGCTGTAGAAATTGCAGTTTTATCTTCCCATTTGTGGGTTTAATGCAATCTTCAAATTCATACCATTTGTATTAGCATTCATACAATTTTAACCATCAACAATGGCTTTATAGAGTTTTTATACTGTTTTAGAAATCATTTTTGAAAGATAGAAGCTTTTTTGGCAATATTCCATCACATAACATTCAAAGAGTTATTAATCAAAATAATTTTAGAATCACTAATCTTCTCATCGAATTCATGCATGCCTTCTTCATTCTTGTTCATCTTCTTTTCCAATATAAATACGCACATTCAAGTTACATATATTCTTTTAGAATCTTTTTTAACAATAAATAAAGCTACTCCCTTTAAAGACAACAATTAGTGTTGGAGTATTTTGGTTAAAAGAAGTATTTCCTTCACATAAAGAAATTTTTTTTGGTGCTGAAATTTTTTTGTGGTTTTTTAAGGCTTATTGACTTAACATTATGTAATGTCTTTTTTAATGTTAATGGCACAAGTTGGATCTAAACCTTGATAATTTATGTTTTGATCTTCCCTTATTTCAAACGAGTGAAGTGCCAAAATTGTCCCCGGACTATTTACGTGACGCAATTTTAGTCCTAGAGCCTATAAAATGTCAAATTACTCCATTGGATTTATTAATTGAAATGTTTAGTCTCACTTAACTGTGATGTTAATTTGATGTAGAATTTCGTAGGGTCTTTGATTCACTGATGCAAATATAGAATGAGGCACTTAAAAAAAAAATAGAAAGACCATAATTCACTATTTTTTAATTTTTATTTAAACTAAAGTATTGGCCACCATCCATACATCATTTTGTGACATGATAAATGCATAAAAAATGATTGAGGGTGATTGATGATGTTCAAAGCATCGCTCAAATCAAGATTAAAATGTATAACATCAATGAATAAACAATCACTCATTATGTAAATTGGACTCCATTGATGCCGCCAAAGCGTTGGAATTGTCAAATGAGAACTCTGTTGATTGATCCAATAGAACATGAATCGGAGTCGCATTGCTCAATTATTATTGAAATTGTCCAAGCACCGTTTGTTCACAAATATATTTGATCGATTCTTCTGGAATGCCAAAATAATCGAAGAAGAGGCATCTCTTGTGATAAATTTGATTGAACATGGTGAGGGTAACATTTTAACGTGAGGTCATGCAATCGAACCTATCAATTGCTGTTGAAATTTCTTGGACGATGTCCATTTGTAAAATGGACCGCAACATTGAGTTCAAGACTCCGAAATTATTCAAGAGTAACCCCTGATGGGCACGATGTACTTCAAACACATTGTCATACAAATCAAAGTTTACATGCTTCAATAGCCATTAAAATGGTCCAAATGTTGTCTGATTATGAAAAAGATGGCACTAATGCGTTCACAACGACGTCGGAATTATCTAAAAATGATTTTTTTTCACACGATTTAAAAAAAGATTGAAGGAGTACATTCGTGCCGCGAAATTTACCTTGAATAGATACCCACATTATTGGGTCATGGAACATGAATCTATTTATAAATTGAGATAAACAAAAAAAATGAGAATGCATGAGGCATAATAAAAATGTTTCATTTATCTATAATAATAATAATAATAATAATAATAATAATAATAATAATAATAATAATAATAAGTTTTACAGAAAGAAAATAAAAATTTAGTAGAATTATCTTCTAAAAAATTTAGATTTCAATAACGAGAAATAGAAATCCAAGCGAACAATTGGCGATCCGCTTGAGCTCGTACACGAGAAAAGAACTCGGACGAATAAATCAAACATGTATATTTAACCTTCTTAAAAAAATAAATTATTATTTTTTAAATATAAATTATAAAAAATATACCATAAATGATTGAAGATATTTTTTTAAAATTTTTATTTAACTTTATTAAGATGTGTCCGACACGATATCTTTTTTTTAATATTATTTAAATCAGACACATCAATGACACTCTAGGAACGTTCTGACACGTGTTCGGGCCATGTTGGGCAAGCATCAATGCCCGAGAAGTGTCCGAAACTGCACGACTCCTTAGTCAAATATGTATGTGCATCATATACTGCTATTTACTTGCTAATAAGATCTTTTACATAAGAACAAATAACAATAAAAAAATTTAAAAAATTCTAACAAGTATCTGCACATTGTTTGTGGTTGGAAAATTTGGGAGTTAAAAACCCCATGCTCCAACATGGCATGAGAAAATTGTAAAAAATAAGTACTTGTGTGTGTTTTTTCAATGCCGTGAAAAAACAAAAGGAATCTAATGTTTCTCTCATGTATGTTTTCATTATAAAGATATGATTTTTGCTAAGTGCGATGGATTATAAGATCTCTCGGCTTTGATATTGTGAGCCATCGACCATGTATGCTTTTTAAGCAAGATGGGATGATGTAGCCCTTGATGCAGCCCTTTATATGAACGGATGCAGGGAAGTTGCCCAAATGAATAGTGAACAAACCTAAAATAAATTAACCAAAATGCATGCTTGATGGCAAAATTACAACTCCAAGATAAAAATTAGTAGATGCAAAATGTAGCAAATTGGATAGAAGAAAAATGTATAACAAGCTTGAACATGGCTTTTAAATGACATCTTGAAAAATGAGGGTCATGAGCTATAACTATATTTGAAGATGATTGATTGAAAGCCTTTCTTTGAAGTCAAATGAAGATCATTATGGGGTTTATTTGACTACTTAAGTGAGATTGAATGCCTTATCTTCCACCGGATCCACAACATAAATATGTAAGTTGACACAAGGTGTTATGTAAGTAGTTCAAAATAAAGCTTTGCATGCATTGGTATTCAAGTAGATAAAAGTCTCGCAGGCGCTTCATGAGGTACTTTTCAATTCAAATATGTCACTCTGAAAGACATGCAATTTATCTTTAAAAGTGTTTAAGTTTAAAAAATATGCTCAAATCCTTGTAGTTAAGAATGTTCGCATGCTTCAATCATCCTACTTGGAGCCCACACTAAGATTAATAAGTTTATGTGCTAATTAGAAAATTACGATCATTCTTTCAAAATGATAATTTAAGTCATTAAAACTGAAAATTCCACAAGACATTTAAGAATGAAAGCCCACTTTTGTAACAATTGGGATTCATATCATAAAAATATAAAATCATCATTCCACTTTTCCATCACAAACTCAGGGCCCTTTTGGGGCAGCTTATAAGTGCGGCTGCGTTTTTGAAAACGCCGCCGCACCGTTTGTTTTGCGCGTTTGTGTAACTTATTTGAAAATCACGTTTCAGATTTGGAAAAAACACGATCGTGGGTATCGACCCGCGATCAGTGTTTCGAACGTCTGATTGGGGCAGCATTTACTCGCCTGCCCCTCCCTCGTACCAGATCCGCTCTGCCTCCGCCGAAGGAAGCTTCACTCTGCCTCTGTCGAAGCTCCGGTCTGCGTCCGCTCCGCCGAAGCTCTGCTCTGCCTCCGCCGAAGCTACGGTCTACCTCCGCCAAAGCTCTGCTCTGCCGCCTCTGCCGAAGGAAGCTTCGCTCTGCTGAAGTTTTTATTCTACGGTCTGCCTCCGCCAAAACAAGGGTAGAATGGTAATTTCTCCAGAATCAGCTGTTTTCCAGACGCACAAACCAAACAGTCAGACAGTTTATCCGGATCAGCTGCTCATCGGCAGATTATCAGGATAAACTGCTTATCAGCAGAAGCTGGATAAGTTTCAGCTGCCCCAAACATACCCTCAATGAACTTTGCAAAATTATTCTGTAGATGTTATTATCGCGTTTGATCATGAACAAATTTGAGGATTAGACTCCCAAACTCAACTTTAATGGTTACTTAAATTAAATTAACTATGCTAGTAATTAATATAATTAAAATTTTGATAAGTGATTTATTTATTTTTTAAGCACAATATTGATGTTAATTTCAACTTGAAATACTTAATTTAATCAAATTATTTATACTAATTGCTGAACAAATGATAATATAATTGAATCTTATATCTCTATTATCAAATCAAACATCTGAATGGTATTACAATTTTAATTTATCAAGCTGTAGCTTAAATAAAAATCCAAATCATGCATTTTATGATAAATATCTCAGACTTCTTATATTAAATAATAATAATAATGCAGGCTCTACAGCAACCATGGCGCGAATGTAAAAGCAGTTTTTGGGTTTAAGAGGTGGCGATTGGCAAGACGAGTTGATATCAAAATTGATAAGGTCGCCGGAAATCATGGATGTGATCAGTAAGCGGCGGCGGAGATTGAGCTAGTATTGAAAGATTCTTCAATACTTCCTCAATATCCGCAACCACTTACTGATCACATCCATGATTTCCGGAGACCTCGTCGGTCTTGATATCAACTCGTCTCCCCCAATCGCCGCCTCCTAAAGCTAAAAGCTGCTTTGCTGCCGCAAGCTCGGTGGCCGTGATGTTATACAGCATTCATTCGGTGGCCGTGATCCAAATGCAATGTATTTAAAATGTAGAAATTTTTTTAATGTTTTGTTGAAAATAAGGAAAAATGGAATTAAATAGAAAAAAAACTAATTAATGGGAAATAGGAGGTAGACTATGATGCCATCTCTACATGTAAAGTATGGGCTTACAGGGAACAATACTCATTTAGGT